TCAAACTGATAAGAAATCGAATATCGGTAAACTTCCAATATGCATATACATAAATAGATAAACAGACAGATACATAGAGAGATAAAAATAACAATAACACAAACAAGAACAACAACAGATCGACTACTCACGACATGACTACACACACACACACAGACAAGACAAGACAAGACAAGACCCATACCTAGACAAACAACCCCCCCAAAAAAAGAAGAAAAAAAAAGAAAAGAAAAAAAATCAACAAAAAAGACCAAACAGACGGACCACAACCAACAACATCTCGGGTACTACTCACGATGTTGAAGAGCGTGAAGACGTATTTCTCGACCTCGTCCTCGCCGTGGAAGTCGATGACGGTGTGGTCGACGGCGACGACGAGCTCCAGCCACTTGGGGGGGTCGGAGGCGTTGAGCGCTGGACCCAGGGACACCTCCGATAGCCCCGAGGAACCTGGGGGGTGGTGGTGGAGGGGGGGGGAGAGAAAGAGAGAGAATGAGATGGGGGGTGGGAATTGAAGAAAGAGGGGGGAGAGGGGAGGAGAGAGAGAGAGAGAGAGAGAGAGAGAGAGAGAGAGAGAGAGAGAGAGAGAGAGAGAGAGAGAGAGAGAGAGAGAGAGAGAGACAGAGAGAGAGAGAGAGAATAAGAAGGGGGGGTGGGAGAGAGGGATGATGGGAAGGGGAAGGGGAGAAAGACAGAATGAGAGGGGGGAGAGGAAAGGGAAAAATGAAGAAAGGGAGAATGAGAGAGGGAGAGAAAGGGGAAAAAGAGGGGAGAGGGGGAAAGGGAGAAGGAGAGGGGGGAGAAAAAGAGACAATGAAAGGGGGAAGAGAGAGAATGAGAGGGAGTGAGAGAAAGATGGAAAGAGAGAGAGAGGGCAGAGAGAGACACAGAGAGAGACAGAGAGAGACAGAGAGAGACAGAGAGAGACAGAGATACAGAGAGATACATAGAGAGAGAGAGAGAGAAGGAGAGAGAGAGAGAGAGATACAGAGAGATACAGAGAGAGAGAGAGAGAGAGAGAGAGAGAGAGAGAGAGAGAGAGAGAGAGAGAGAGAGAGAGAGAGGAGAGAGAGAGAGAGAGAGAGAGAGAGAGAATGAAAGAAGAAGGGCGCAAGAGAAAGAGGGAGAACGAAAAAAAGGAAAAAGAAGAGAGAGAGAAAAAAAAGCCAGATTAAGAGGCTAAGACAGCTGAGGTGAGAATGAGGGGTGTTTGTGAGGGACAGAAAAAAAAGAAAAAACAATGAAAGGAGACAAGACGTAGACAGTGATAAAAGGAATAAATAAGATGTGGAAGAATGGAATAAAATAAGGAAAAATACGGAATGCGAGAAAAACACACACAGACACACACACACACACACACATACACACACACACACACACACACACACACACACACACACACACACACACACACACACACACACACACACTTACAAACACACACACTAAAACAAAAGAAGGAGACACATAGAGAGACACAGACTCCATACCCTCGGAGAGAAGAGAGATCAAACACTTCTGTACCTAAAGTTTAAATACCCTTTCTCTTCTCAAAGGAAAATCTTTACGAAGAAAAAAAAAGGGGGAAAAAGTTAATGCGTCCCGACCCCTTTTCCTCTTTGGGTAAAATATTCAAGGGGAGGAGAGGCTCGCGTGCACTCATGGATTCGAACGAGGTGAAAGAGGGTCATGGTGGTACTGTTTTCTGCTATTCCTGGTTTTGTCTTCTCTCCTCTTCTCTATGTCTCTTTCTCCTTCTGTGTGTGGTGTCTGTGTGATTGTGTGTGTGTCTCTCTCTCTCTATCTATCTCTCTCTCTCTCTCTCTCTCTCTCTCTCTCTCTCTCTCTCTTTCTCTCTCTCTCTCTCTCTCTCTCTCACTTTCACTCTCCTCTTCTCTTTTTCTTCTTCTGCTTTTGTTTCTCACTTTCTCATCATCTCATTTCCCTGCCCATCTCCCTCACAATCGCACACAACAGACGCACACGCACAAGCACACACACACACCCATCCCCACTGTTCCCTCTCCCCTCCAACTCCCATCCCTCTTTCACCCCCCCCCCCATACCCATACCATCCTCTCCTACCCTCTACCCTCCCTCTTCACCCCCCCCCCTTCCCTCTTTACCCCATCACCTCTCCCTCTCTCCCCTTCTCCCCCTCTCTCTCCTTCTCCCCCTCTCTCTCCTTCACCCCTCTTACCCCTTTAGCCCATTACCCCTCCTCCATCACCCCCTCCCCCCTCCCCCTCTCCCTTCACCCCCCTCCCCCTCTCCCTTCACCCCCCTACCCCTTTCCAACCCCTCTCCCTCCCCCATCACCCACTCGCCCCCTTCCTTCCACCCACTCCCCCCTCTCCCTCCCCCTCTTCCTCCCCCTTCCCCCTTTAGCCCATCACCCCCTCTCTCCCTCTCACCCCCCCTTCCCCCTTTACCCCATCATCCCTCTCCCATCACTCCCCCTTCCAACCCCTTCCCTCCCATCCCCCTTCCCACCCTTCCCCCTTCTCCCTCCCCCCTCCCTTGCCCCTTCCCCCTCCCGTCCCTCCCCCCTCCCCACTCTTCCCCCTTCCCCCTCTCACCTGCAGCGACGTCAGTCTCCCAGAAGAGGTCCGGCGAGTAGCCCTGCCAGTCCTCGCCCTCGAACGGGTCCACCACGTGAGCTGCGGGCGGGATTGAGAGGTTAAAGGTGATGATGGTGGTGGTTATGGTGATGGGGGTGGTGAGGGTGGTGATGGTGATGGGGTGGTGAGGGTGGTGATGGTGATGGGGGTGGTGAGGGTGGTGATGGTGATGGGGGTGGTGAGGGTGGTGATGGTGAGGGTGAGGGTGGTGATGGTGATGATGGTGGTGGTGATTATGGTGATGATGGTGGTGGTGATGATGGTGATGGTTATGGGGATGGTGGTGAAGGTAAAATTGATGATGATGGCGAGGGTGATGGCGACGGAAGGTGGGAGGGGAGGAGAGGTTAAAAGGGATGGTGATGCTGATGGTGATGTTGGTGGTGGTGATGGTGAAGGTGGTGATGGTGAAGGTAGTGGTGGTGAAGGTAAACGTGATGGTGATGATGATGGTGAAGGTAAAAGGGATGGTGATGCTGCTGATTATGATGGTGATGGTGAAGATGAAGGTAAAAGTGATGGTGATGCTGCTGCTGATGATAATAGTGATGGTGAGGGTGATGGCGAGGGCGATGGTGATAGTATTAATGTCAGTATGAGTAATGGTGATTGTGATAGTCATATAATGTAAGAACAATGATACTCATCATCATGAAAATAAATAATGATAATTATCATGATAAAATAATAATAATAACTAAATAACAATAACATTGGCTACAATAATACTGATGATTATGACGATACTATAACTGCTACTAATACTACTAATAGTAATGATAATATTAATAATAATGATAATAATAATGATGATGATGACGAGGAGAAAGAGTAGATAATAAAGAAAGAAAAGGAAAAGAAGAAAAAGGAGAAGAACAGGAGAAGAAAAGGAGAAGAAAAGGAAAAAGGAAAAAAGAAGAAAAAGTAGAAAAGGAAGAAGAAAAAAAGAAGAAAAAAGGGAAGAAGAGAAAAGCGAAGAAGAAAAGGACAAAGGAGAAAAGGAAGAAGAAAAAGAAGAAACAGGAGAAGAAAAGGAAGAAGAAAAAGAAGAAACAGGAGAAGAAAAGGAAGAAGAAAAAGAAGAAAAAAAGAAAAAGAAGAAGAAGGAGAAAAGGAAGAAGAAGAAAAGAAGAAAAGGAAAAAGAAAAAAAGAAGAAAAGAAGAAAAGGAAGAAGAAAAGAAGAAGAAGAAAAGGAAGAAGAAAAGGACGAAGAAGAAAAAAAAGAAAAAGAAGAAGAAGAAGGAGAAAAGGAAAAAGAAGAAAAGAAAAAAGAAGAAACAGAAAAAAATAAACAATAAAAAACAAAACCGAAAATAGACAAAGAAAAAAAGAGAAAGAGAAAGAGAGAAAGAAAGAAAGATAGATAGATAGATAGATAGATAGATAGATAGATAGATAGATAGATAGATAGATAGATAGATAGATAGATAGATAGATAGATAGATAGATAGATAGATAGATAGATAGATAGATAGATAGAGAGAGAGAGAGAGACAGAGAGAATGTGACTGCGAACTGATACATTTATTTACATAACAATGACCAAGACCTGCAAAAAAGCCAGGCTAAGATGCTCTATCATCTATCCAAACTGCCTACGCTTCTATCTGCGTAGAGGGCCATCACTCAGACATTTGTGGTACATGTCTGAAGGGCTGTGGCATTGTGCTTACATTATTCACATAATCATCAAGTCGGTAAAAAAAAAGAAAAAAATCACTACTCAGAGAGGGAGAATGAGAGAGAGAGAGAGAGAGAGAGAGAGAGAGAGAGAGAGAGAGAGAGAGAGAGAGAGAGAGAGAGAGAGAGAGAGAGAGAGAGAGAGAGAGAGAGACAGACAGAGAAAGAGAAAGAGAAAGAGAAAGAGAAAGAGAGAGAGACAGAGAAAGAGAGAGAGAGAGAGAGAGAGAGAGAGAGAGAGAGAGAGAGAGAGAGAGAGAGAGAGAGAGAGAGAGAGAGAGAGAGAGAGAGAGAGAGACAGAGAAAGAGAAAGAGAGAGAGACAGAGAAAGAGAGAGAGAGAGAGAGAGAGAGAGAGAGAGAGAGAGAGAGAGAGAGAGAGAGAGAGAGAGAGAGAGAGAGAGAGAGAGAGAGAGAGAGAGCGAAAAACAACAGAAACAGCGAAAAAAATGAAGATAAAACAAGAGAGAAAGCAAAATAAACGAGGGAACTGCCGCAACAAAGTACTAAAAGAAGAAACAGAAAAAAATAAACAATATAAAAAAGAAACCGAAAACAGACAAAGAAAAAAGAGAAAGAAGAGAAAGGAAAGACCAAAAACAAAAACAAACAGAAAAAAACACACCAAGCCACGCCAAAGTCTCCGAACACCCCATCGTCCGAATGAGTTCAATAAAGACTTCCATAAAGGACTCG